GGGTGGGTAAGGGGTGTTGAATTTGAGGATTTAGGTGATTTATATGGTATACAACTAGAGAGGGACCAGCTAAATAATTACAGGTATGCGAATGGGGGATCAATTGATAACAACCAGCAATTGAGGGGGATATAGAAAACAAATAGTGCTTCTCCCTCAAAAATCTTTCAATATCTAGACCCTCTAACATTTAAATATTTTGTAATATTGTGTCCCTTTTTTCATCAAATATTATCCCACTGTAAAAAGCTCAGTGAACTAATTTCATCGATATTTGAATATCTTATATCCTGCTTGTGTCCCACAACTAAGCATTGTTCTCACTTTCTTCATTGTTCATTCAATTATCTGTTTCGTTTACCGCACAAATAATCTCAACAATGCAATAATGTGTAGTGAGACGTTCTACGAGTTCTTCTTTTTTGATTAAAATCAATATTTAGTAACATTGTCAATTGCTGTGGGATGTGATGGAAATAACCCTTCACAATATGCAAGCACTATAAACAAATATTTCAACCAACGAGAATATTAACTTGAAAAAGGACAATAATACACACCCACATCACTTATGGCTAGAATAACCTATGCAATTCTTCCGTCATTTTGATTGTCTCTGTTTTCCATTGCTCATAGATAATAGTTCGATTCAATCTCTAATTATCAATATTACACCACGTGCCCTTCTTTCAAACAAAAACAAATAGAAAAAGTATATATATGCCATAACTAATTCACAGCTTTAATATAGGCTTGAAATGAAAGAATCGTTGATCTAATTCTAAACTCCGAGTATTATAAAGACTAACATTCAGAAATGATATGATTTACGTTATTAGAAACTACATTAAGTTATATGGTATTCTTAATAATTCTGTGCAATCATAAGCCAACTTGTCATTCATTAAGTTTTGCCCAATCATCCAGCCTACCTAATGTAAGACTAAAGTGATTAGGCATTATTTCACCTCTTCATTCTAAGAAAAGTGTCGTTGCTAGGAAACAAGATGATATGAGAAGGAAATGTGCTAGGATTATTAACACTCGAGTTTTATGTCACAATAAATGAAATAAGAAGTTAAAACAGAACATGATAAGAACAAAACCAGACACCGACTAAAGAGAGCTCTGTAAGATGTCATAAACAACAAACGTAAAGCAGGACTTGGGCAAATGCAATAATTGACTTCTGGGCTTTTTCATTTTTCTATCTCAAGCAACCAAGATCGTTAGCAACAAAGAAAGTGCTGGTAAGCCACCCGGGTAAAAAAAACATACTGAACCGCGCGATAAAGCCAAAAACAGCAATTATAGAGCCGGCGGACACAGCCAGCAGACATTCAAATATCGCCGAAAAGGAATTTGCTGACAAAAAAGGCGGAAAGTAAGATTCTTTTAAAGAAAAAATAATAATTTCAATACTATTGTACGAAAAGACAAAAACGACTCCCAAGATGAATTCATCGTCATCGATAAACGAAAGTGGGGTGTTGATAATGTATCCCCTTCAGCATCGTTCGTCTACAGAGGTAATGGCCGAGACATTTATTGGATGTCTCTTGTTTGTTCTGGGACTCACTGGAAACGCACTGGTTTGTTATGTGATTCACAAAAAACGCTTTACTAATTCATCCATGTATTTCTTTATGCTCAACCTCGCATACGCTGATTTACTGGTTTGCTTCGTCTCAATACCTTTGACATTACTTTCAACTCGACCACAACCTGTTGTCGTCAAGTTTGGCTCTCTTCCTTGTAAGATTATACGATTTATCCAGTATATCCTTCCTCCTGCCTCCGTAGCAATATTAACAGCAACAGCTATAGATCGTTACTTTCATATTTGTGTGCCATTAAAGAGGATGATCACGACCAAAGCTACGAAACAGCTCGCGGCCATTTGCTGGGGGTCAGCGCTTATACTGACTTTACCGATATTTTATTTGATAGAAACTCAAAAAGTCATGTACAATGGATYTGTATACGAGTTCTGTAACATAGAAGAAACATCAACGTATCCAACAGCAGGAATGATCTATCTAGTGTTCAGGGGGTGCCTAGGTTTTGCCATTCCCTTGGCAACGGTTTCAGTTTTGTATTTCAGGATCGTACGAACAGTTTGGCAACGTCAGAGTCGCCATCAGTCAGCTAATCGACAAAGAGCAAATGTAGTCAAGTCGTTGTTAACAGTCGTCATAGCTTTTTCATTAAGTTGGACTCCATTTTCCATCTACAATAAGTATTATCTCTTTATGAAACCCAAGAGAGAAGACATTACTCGGCAAGAAATCATTTGTTTCTGGATTGGCCTCACAGCTTCAGTTTATAATCCTCTCATTTACGCCTTTTACAACAAAAAGTTTCGAAATGCTTTTGTTTCTGTTGTTCTTAAAAAGAAACAGACGCATATGTCGGCATTAAAACCCGCTAAAGTTTCCTATCGGCCGAGATCCAGAACTCTACCAGCTGTATTGTCACTAGAAGATAGACAACAGTCCAGGGACAAAGAACTGGAGGGACATGCAACTCTTCTGCTCAACACTCAAAGTATCATACGAGGAAAGAAAACACGACATTTGTCGTTAGCATTTGATATACTGGATAAAAGTGAGCCAAAGTGTCGCAGCATCCTTTTTGGCATAACCAACCTTAGTTATAACCAATCAGAAAACAAACAATTTATTCCACATTCCTTCCATGGATCGAAGGAACACGTATCATCAGGCATCATTAACATAGCTGAGCCTGCCGTAATCAAAAACAACTGTTCCAGCGCATGCGTAAGCAAGAAATGCTTAAAGGAAATTGTTTTTGTTCCCCGTATGGTGAAAGTTGAGCCAAAAGCGGAAAACCTTTCGCAATCGAAGAGAGGTCTTGAAAGCAACTTAAAACAACACACCCATCGATACCCCACAGTGTTAAAGAGATCTCAAACATTAAGATCTCCAACAGACCGAGCACATCATGTTACTAAGAATAGAGTATCCACGCAAAAAACAAAATTTGACTTCCAAAAACATGGAAAATTTTCTCGTTCAAATTCGTTTCATTTCCCTTCATCTTATAATCTTTGCAATGTTAGTAACACTCCTGCGATATAAACAGCCTCCCAACTAAAAAACTATAAATAAACACGATGCTATGTCGAGGTGCAAAAAGGAGCCATTATAGTATTATAATTTGGTGTGAAATATGATCGTCCGGGTGAGTGTAGTCTTGAGAAAGACTGTTGTTGGTGGTGACTGACGTTTCGTCAACCTGAGCGGAAGTCACATTCAGAGTCCAGTGAGAAAACGAGACACAGTCAAACCATTTACTCTTATAGTATTATAATTATAGGATCAATACAATCAACTGTTGTGTTTTATTACACGACTACACTTGCTCGATTTACCAGATAAAAGTCACATGAATAACGGAGAATTATTTTTATCACCCATCAATCATCCTCTTTCGTCAAACCACCAAAAACCTACAAGAAAAAGATGTAAGCGTTTACAAGTAAATGTAAGAAAAGAAAGGGAAATTGAGAAACAGTCGTTGTTTTTACGAGCGAGTCCGCTCTATTATGTACGGCAGTTTGTCGCCTTAGCCTCCTGATTAACTTACCTCGCTTGGTACAGCTTGTTTTTCAATTTGAATTTCTAAATGAAATTTAAAAAATTAAAAATACAATTGAATTCACTAAATTTATTCTAGATTAAGTAATATTCCTACCTTTCGTTTGATTTTCACTATCATCCTCCTCATCATCGTCATCATCATCAATATCTATCTCTTCTGGATTAGTAGTTTTCGACGCAGCTAATTCGTTGTCATCTCCTGTGGTTTCTCCCCTACAAACATTGTGTAATGAGTCTTAAGTAGAATGTTACTGGTTCAATGGCAAAGCAACAGTGACTTTACGTCTTACCTTACAAAAAGCACTTTTTCTTTGGGTTGCAAAGCTTCCTTTTTCGCTTGCTCTGCCACGGCTAAAACCTGCTGCTCAAGTCGTCTCATTTCGTCTGTCGTTTCATCTCCTTCGTCTAAAATTCAAACATTTAATATCCGATTCAATTTGTTGTGATACATATCACAGTTTTGGAGATAGCAGGAGTGAAAGACAAACTTTATTTGACGCAGTAATCTGCAGGAAAGCAGTAATGTATTTGGCGTTATTCCACTTTTTTTCGTATCATGTACGTATTGCGATGCTTTCTCGCGGCACAGGCATCCCACAAGCAAGCATTGTATAACTTAGTAGGCACCCTAAGAGACCCTAAAGAGTTATTTCTAGTACAACTCACCAGCGCCTGCGCCTTTGCCAACAGCTGCTGCCAACATCTGGGCAGACATGAAATTAACCTATATAAATAAAAATGAGGAGATTTAATACCAATTAGCTGTGCGGTCTGCAACGATTCGTAATGATCTCATTAAAGCTATGGCTTACCTGTGTATTGAACTGGGCCTGTACGCTTCTTTTGATTCGCAACATCTCGCGGAAAGTATCCTCGTTTCCATGGCGAACTTCGAACTCGTTCCAGACCTTCCAAAATTCCGAAGTTCTCTGCAGAATAGTAGAATGAAATAGTAGATGTAATTCTTAGTTTTGAGTACTTGCACACTTTGCATACTCACCCTTGGGTCTGACATCTGTGATGCATGCATGTATATAGCACGTGCACGGTCAATTTCACCCAGCTTCCTTTCCAGTTCAGCAAAACGTATGCACATTTGTCTGGTGCAAAAAAAATATCGTAGGATTAATTATACAGAAACGAATACAAAACTTCGTTATCATGGTAATAATGAGCAGCATGGCTGACGTACGCGGCTAACGTGTTGTCTTTCACCACTCTGGTTCCAAAGGTTAGGGTCGCTGGTTCGAGCCCTGAGGACCCCATGTGTGAATTGAGTTAGTTTGATGTGTTGTTCCCTCCTATATTACGAGGCTTTTCTCCGGGTTTTTGGTTTTCTCCCTCCGTAGATCAACAAGTGAGTTGAGCGTTCTGTGCATACAATATTGAATGCAGTGGTAGTGCGTGTGAGTGAAAGTTGGCCAAATTGGAAACCAGCCCACAACGGTAAATTTAACACCCATATAAAATAGAGATGATTTAAACACACGTTTTACCTAGCTTGGTCATCCTGCAACAATTCGATTGCTTGTTCGAAGATTTCTCTTGTGTGTGTCACACCAAAGATCTCTGCTGCTCTTTTGATGTACAGGTTGAACATCTGGTAATAATCACACCTTTTATTACTCCTAGTTGTTTTGTACGGTAAATTTAAACAGGGTGTATATTTTACCACCATTACTTCCCGTGAGGGGATTAGGGTAATTAACATACCTACATACACTCCACATATACACTATCACTAAATTTGAGAATACAACAGAAGAATCAATTGAAAGTGCATTAGGACCGAGTCTCTTTTGACAAGGAGTAAAGTATAAAGAACGAGGAAGCCATACCTCAAACTGTTCTTCAGGAAGCACAGCCTTGGTTGCTCGGTCGTAAATAGCCATAGCATGACGTGCTAGACCATGGTCCTCTTCAAGCTTAGCATACATTAAATAAAATGCTGAAACCATAGACACATGCGAATCACAACATTAGTAACATATAATGCTGTTGTGTGCACATGAGGGTTTCAAGTAGAATATAGAGAAAAAATACTAACTTTTGGCGTATTTTGCTGGGCATCCATCAAGAACCTGCTCAAATAAATCTCTTGCTCTTTCAATCTTGCTACCACCCTGCATATGTACAAGTAAATGATGGTTAATGATAAGTCAATAATGATAATTCTTGACAAGTAACTTACATATCGTCTAATGAACTTGCTCAGGTACGTATTCCAAATGTCAAACACATTTGGCCACTTGAACATAGCCACACCTCGTTCAAAAACCTGTGAAAAACAACACAAACATTACTCATCATATAAAGTCAAACTTTAAAATGCTAAGGTACAACAAAGTGAATCCAGTTTCGCTGACCTTAAAACTTTCTTCAAAGTAGCGATGTTCTTCCAAGAATAAGGCGTAGTTTATTATAATTTGTGGATTAGCTATTCTCAAATCTAAAATACGGCTATAAACAGCCTTGGTAGACTGAAAGGTACCAAGGCTTTCCTCTAGATCAGCATACATAGACCACAATTTGAGGGATTTATGGACACGTTTCTGCACAGTTTCCCCCTGGAATATGACATTAAAACATTATTAATAATAATTGGGCTATTATTTGGTACCATGGATCCCATGAAAAATGATTCCCTAATGAATTAATTAATTTGTTTATTGGCTGTTGACAACCTACCTGATCATAGTAGTCTGTCTTTGTCGATGGAACCGAAGTTCCTTTCCTCATCAGCTCCAAAGCACGCTGGTAGTTTCTGTGAAGAAAAAGAGTTTTACATTATCTAGTCCATTTCTTCTTTTCTTACCTCTTGTTGAAATAAAAACTTTCTATTGCTGACAACAAAACCTTTTTTTAAATTTTCATTGAAAGGAAGGCAAAAAACTGGAATCAAGAAACCAAAGAATGCTTCATCCTAGATTCTCTAGGATTATTTAAAAATTACAATTACCCAGGTATAGTAAGCAAGTAAGACAGGTTCACAACTTACTCATGTCTTATCTCCATCTCAGCATATTCACACCATACACTGGCTAAGTCATCAACATGACGGTAGTTGACTTTAGTTGCCTTGTCAAAGATCACTCTTGCTTCATTTATCTGGTTGTGTTTCTCATAGAACTTGGCAAATTCTATCCATATTGTATGCAGTTTACCAGTTGCTAATTTAGGGTCCACAGTCTGTACTGCTTCTGTAAAGGTGTTTATGATTTCTTTTGGTTTGCCTTCATAAAGTTTGACTCTCTTGTGCCATTCATGGACATTGTGTGGATTCTGACGCAAGAGGACACTGCAAACCACAATCAAAAACGACTTACTTGTTAATGTGGTGTTTAATAGACCTCAGCTGTACCTTGGGTGTAATGTTTTCCCATTCAGGCTATGTGTCATTCTCTAGATATCATTTCTTTGTTTAATAAAAGTTGTGCACAGGATGACTGACTATAGCATCTTAAGGGAATGAAACATGGTCTGAAATATGAAATGATTATGCCCTGGGTAAAGAGGTCTATTTCTATGCAAATGCTTAGCAGATGCTCTTCTACCAGAAAGACAAAAGAAGGCATAATGAGGTGGCGTACTAACCTACTCAGAAGCAATGGACGTCTATCCATGAGATTTTCAAACCTGGCCAGCCTGAGTTCTAAATCAATATCCTCTATAATAAAATTAGAATATTATCTCCCTTAGCGTCACATAATTATAACTAGTAACAGTTATCTAAGTCAAATGGATAGCACTACACCAAAGTCATGTGTTTTACCTTCTTCTGTTGCACCCATCTCTGCAGTGGTTTCCATCTTGGCATTGATCATACTCTCTTCAAACTGAGCATAAGCATCAAATACCTATGCAAACAAAGTATCGTTCCTAATTATACTTTAACATATTTATCTTCAGTAGGATGTGGATATAGGGACCAGTCATCAGTGTGCCGAGAATAAGGAACTGCACTATATAAGAACCATTTACAGAAAAAGACAATGGTTACAGCCAGGGGTCAAACCATGGCTAGTCAGTCCCCAGTCATGAAGAGCAGCCCAATGAGTTTTTAGTTTAGTCATACCTAGTCTCTGGCTCAACATTACTGCTCAAAATTACCTGGAAGGCAAAATTTGACCAGACAAGTTCCAGTCTGATGAGTGAATTATAGAGAGGATAAGGCAAAACAATCTAGTCTGAGCATACCTGTCCAAAATCTCTTACAGTCATAACAGTCTGTATTGCCTCTTCATAAACATCCCTTGCCTGAACAAAAAACAATAAAACATGCCATAATCATTTAGAGTCACACACAGGGTTCAGGGGCAGATTTAGAGGTACAGGCCCATGGGGCCAATGTAATTGTATTTGCGCACAGTCTTGAAGGTTTTCTCTCGGGACAAAGATTTCCAGCCCACACTTTCTTTTATTCCTGGATCTACCACTGGGCTTCTTGTGGAATGGAAACTGAATACTTAATCTACCTTTTCAAAATGTCCACTTCGAATGTAGAAATCAGCAAGTAAACACCACAACTGTCCAAGACTGTCAGTGAATTTGTGCAGCCCTCCTCTGATGATGTCTGCAACCTTGAGACTTTTGATTTTGGTTGGGTTTTTAGAAATCAGCTCACATAGATCATGCCATAACTGTGCATTGTTAGAAGAAGTAAGTACACAAAGTATTATAATAATTACAACAATAGAATAACAGAAGGACATTAAAACCAGTAACAAATGTATTACCTGATGATTAGACTTCCCTTCTTTAGACACAAAGTTTTCCTAAAATAAATCAAATGATTAGAAGCATATTTTCGAAATAAGAAGCGAGGCTAAGAATAACAGCTGCTTTTCTGGCAATATCTGCGGTCAGAATTGCAATGTAACCGGTCAAATGTCTGCCTTGCAGGGACATTATTTGACCAGAAAAAATGAGCTAAAGATGAGATATGACCAAGCTAAATATGATTTGACCAATCATCATGCATGACTGGTGACTGGCCTGCTGTTACTTTTAGCCTTATGCACAAGCTATGCCAAAAGAGACAAGGTGAGGTGAAGTTATATTATACATCAATTAGATGTATTAATTATGTATTTAAGTACCTTGTTAACTATTGTAGCCAGCCTAGTGGCTGCTTCATCTATCCATCCAACATCCACAAGATATTTCACATATTCTTCTGTGTTCTCAGGTTGAAGCTTCATAAGATAAATAAGAAATAAGAAATCATTCAATAAACTGTATTTAGGGTAACACGTAACGTGGGAACTGAAAAATGTATTAGCCATTCTTAGGTTGAAGAAAAATTGGGTTGGGTTGCCATTGCAATCACTACTTGTGGTACTGTATTAGGCGACAAAATGTCCCATAAATAAGTCTCACAATCCACTGCCATGGCAACTCAACCCAGTTGTTTCATGAATCTCAGAAAGGCCATCTATTTCTAATGTCTTTGAATGAGACAGGACTGCCATTTTACAAAGTTATCCAAGCCATGTCCAACATTTTAGAGCATAGGAAAGGCTCTACTCAGATATTTTGAGACCATGAAAGTTGATCCAGCTGAGGCTTTGGCCCAAGACCTCCTGCATAACAGACCAGTGCCCAACCGAGTCAACCTGCAGGAGGTTGTTGTTGATCCAAACAACTTGTAAAGTTGGACTTACCTTTAGGTATCTCCTGTATACTCTGACTGCTGTCTCATGTATTGGGTGTTTACGCACAAACTTGAGGTATAAAGGCCAAATTCTATAGTGCTGGGTGATTGGAAGTGCTCGTAATGCTCTGTCAAACACTCTTCTTGTCTTTGTGATCTTGCATTGATCAACCAGAAACTGACAATAATCAAGCCAGATCCGAGGCATCTTGAAAGATATTTCATTGGAGAATATAAATTTAGTTATTTGCTTAAAGAATTATTGAATAACCTTGTAATATTATTAGATACAGCCAGGGTTTTCAGGTATTTTGTTATCAGAGCATTTTTAACCCCAGTATTCGGTATCTCCGACATTATTTCTCTGATTTACATGTATGAGTATGAAGAATTTTTGTAATCCCAATTGATCCTGAAATTCTGGACATATTGGCATCATGGAAAGAAATAAGAACCTTTGTTTCACACCCAAATTTATTCTTAAGCACTTGAGGAGGAATCTATCCATGTTAACATTGCTGCTGCTTGAGTGAGACACATGTATTGGACAATTAGTTAATTAAGAAAAAAGGCAAAGGTTTTTTAGGGTACCTTGTGCATAAAAACGAGTGATCTCTCAAAAGCATTGTTGACATCCTCATATGCTGGATCAGTCAATGGTCTTAAAAATAACAAACATTAAAAGTTATGCATCATTGTATGTAAAACCTTTCATAACTGGCAAAGATACTGAGATTTTAATTTTGAATTGCATACTCCCACACCACTGAAAATATAGCCAATCAGAATGCAAAAATGTTGGCGTATAGAGCTGATGCAATTAAACCATGAAATAAAATCAAACTAAATACTGACTAATAACATCTATTTAGTTCAACTAATAGTTGCTATTACTCAACCAGAACATGTATTAAACAAAAGACACAATTAATGGTCTCTTGTGTATTTATCTTTGTATGATGAATGTTCTGGTGGAGTGATAGCAACTATTACTCACTAAATAGATACTATTAGTTAGTAATAAATACTATTTAGTTTGAGTAAATTTCATGGTTTAATTGTATATGCTCTATTATGAGCACAGAATTCAAAATTGAATTTTTAGATTATATGGATGTTTTTTCAATGGTGTGGGATGTATTAGTTGCTTTCTCATGAATCATGAGACACTACATGGTAATCTCCATTCAAAACTGTTCTATAACTAGTACTATGTCATATAGTTTTTAATGATATAAAAGAATTTTGCTTACTTTCCCTTGACTTGTTTTCTTCTGAGCTTCAAGTAATTATACCAGAGTTTGTAACTAAATGGACAAAAAATAATAATGAACATGGAATGTACAAGATTCTGTGATTTAACAAGCTACATCAATTTTTAAATTATTCAGCCCAGACAGTAAAATCTCGGCTTGCAGTAAACTATGAACCACAAGATAAACCTGAATACAAAGATAGAAATTTAAACTAAACTAAAGCACTGAAGGTTTGGGTCACTAATTCCCTTACAAAGAGAGGGTAGCAGAGTTACATGCAAATCTTTTGCACAAGACAAACAGCTCCATGTGTAGTACCTTCCAGGAAGCTCTTTGAGTGCTCTCTCATACACCATATTATTAGCAGTCTTACTTCCAGCTTTCGACTTGTGTTCAATATATCGCATCCAACATTTGACAGAATATGGGTTACGAATAATCTCCTCTTCATAAGGAAGGTCATCTTCTTCCTGTTATATTCGATAATGATAATAATAATAATAATAATAATAATGACAATACTGATAATGATGATAGCAATATTAGCAATAGTATTAATAATAATAATTGAAAGTACAAGACAATGTTTTTACAATAATAGTGGCTAGCACAAGATATTCCATACTGCATTGTGGACAAAACTTGTTAAATCTATTATTACAGTAGCTAGAATATCTTTGTAAAAGTCATTTTATTGCATTAATAAAGAGTAGAGAGAATAGAAAGATTTTGACATCTATAACATTTTCACGTGTACTTACGATTATTATGGTCTTCGATTTACTTGAAGACTCGTGCATCTTTGGAGTCCTTTGCAGCTATCTTGATGTTATATAGTAAGGTGAATTAACTCTTCTTATTTTAGTTAAAAAACTAATTCCAAAGTAGACAAGTAATACAAGGCGAGTGAGGAGAGAGTAAAACGAAATTCACACGTACAGGTCAGCTGTTTCTCTCTAGTTGACCTTGCGCACAACTCACTTGTGTCTAGTCTTCTTCGTCCATCATCTTGTCTTCCAGTAACGCCTGGTAAAAGTGTGCTTTCCTGTAGCCAACACGAGTAGTGAGGTGTTCCATACCATCAAATACCTTTGAAAAATGAGTGATTTACCTCCAGGATGGGAAGTTAGAACTTCTAAATCCACAGGAAAAGCATATTTCTTCAATAGACAAACGAATGCTAGCACTTGGGATCGGCCAACAGAACCAGCGTCAGATCAAGTACGCGCCTCACATTTACTGGTCAAACATTGCAATTCAAGGCGCCCTGCATCTTGGAAATCAGACRAGATCACCAGAAGTAAAGAAGAAGCTCTTCAAATCATCAAAGGTTTGGAATGAGGAGCAAAGAAGGATAAACCCACTTGTCATGTGCTAGCTACCTACCCAAGTCAATTTGTTTGAGTCTGGATTAGTGTAGCTATTCTAATATCCCAAGGGTAGTGAACATGTTGTCCCCTACTCCCCACACTTCTCCCCCAGGAATATTACTCTACATATTAATCCTCGCTTGGCCAAGTCAACAAAAGCAAATACCAAACAGTGACCAAGGGAAATACGGGAACTGCTTGCAGCCTGATTCATCTTGTATTAGTCTTACCATTACTTTAAATCTATAATTGCAGGTTACGAAGAGCAAATTAGGTCTGGTGAAACAACCCTACCCAAGTTGGCCAGGACTGAAAGTGATTGCAGTAGTGCTAGAAAAGATGGTGACCTAGGCTATTTTGGCAGAGGACAGATGCAAAGTATGTTTGAATGAACCAACAGCAATATCTGAGGGAGATTATTATTTATAGAATTTTTAATTGACAATTATTGCAGGGAAGTAATGGTAAATGGCATCCTATTAAAAATACATGTATACACTTAGAGAGTAATCTTTTCCACGAAGGGGTAGTCCTATTTTGATTATTCATTTGTGTGTCATTGGTGAATTTGTTTAGGCTAATACTTTTAAGCTTTTCATTTTAATATTATTCTCTGAATCCACATAATGTTTTCCATTTCAGACCATGTGTCATTGATATATCATTAATTTCTTTGTGGTTGCAAATGGATATGACTAAAAAAATCATATTCTCAAGAATGACAATTGATCTGAAATGCAAGAAAACATTAAACCTGAGATAAAGAGGTCTAATTAGGCTTCCACACCTGTTGTGCAAGTCCATCTTTTGTAAAAAAATTGCATTTATACCATATGGGGATGTATTTTATGGAACTGTTTTTACTTTCTTTATTTCAGAACCTTTTGAAGAAGCCACGTAAGTTAATGCTTACATATATGTACAACAATATCATACACTGGGCTAAAAATAAGTGCTGGTCAGTTAGTCATTGGTCAAGATGACTGACCAAATTATATTTAGCAAAGCAGAGTTTAACCAAACAAGGTCTAATCAGGAAAGGATATTGTCCTATGACAGGCCATTATTTATAACCCTATATATGTCTAGCATATGTCTTGTTGAATATCCATAGGGGAGGGTTACAGAGATTTCAGTGATTTCAAGAATACCAAAATGAATCGTTGTATCTGTTCAATTTAACAACATGAAAACATTACTTTAAAATGGCTGGATCACCACTGATATCATTGCTAACTGACCATGTATTTTGATCTGTGAAAGGTTTATTCTATAAAGTTAACTGTTACTATTGTTTCTAGGTTTGCAACCAAGGTCGGAGAGATGAGTGGACCTGTTTTCACTGATTCTGGAATCCATTTGATCTTAAGAACAGCATAAATAAACATTACTATTTCATTCTACTACTTATGTGCTTATCAACTGTGAAATAAGATGCTATAGTCAGATGTAAAATAGAACTGCATGTGAACAAGTTGTAAAATAAGGCAAGAAAATGTAACATACCCAGTTACGATAATTACCATAATGGACTTCTAGTAGGTGTAATGTACAAATATGAAAAGAAATAAAAGCACTATATTGAGTGAAATTTTCATGTTTTTTATTTTGATGATGGTCTAGATAAACATTACTGGTGAGAACAGTGGCTTAACTTATTTGAAAAAAAGCACTCTACACTTAAGAATGATATGTGCTACATCTGTAAGACATGTTTCTGGTCAAAATATGCTCTAAGAATGCAAGCAACTTGTTTTAAGCTTTGAGTTGAATTAAAAATGTCAGCTAATAATCTCCTTCCCTCTCTATTTAGGGACAGTTCATTTTTTACAGGCATATGGGGGAGAGGCTGGTGGGATTTAGGGGGTGCCACGCAAAAAATATAATAATATATTATCCTGTTTTAATAGAGGGCCATGTAAAAAAATTCAGGTTGGGAAGAGGTCACTTTTTTTTACTTACAAATCACAAAATCCCACCAGCACCCAATTGTCCTGTAAAAAATGAACATTCCCTTATTTCTGATTAACAATGTCTTAAGACTTTGTCCCATTTTCACTTTTTTCTTTAGAATCTGATGGTACATTGTCATCATCTGTCTTTTGTTTTTTTGCTTCAGGTGCTGAATCTTCACTACTGATCTCTGATTTTCTTCTTTTTGTTTCTGCTGCTGCCTCTTTTTTGCCTTTCTGTTCTTTCTTGAATGCTGAAATGATGGTTTCATAATGACTCAGCAATTTAATATATATAAAAAAGCATACTGCATTTTTTCCAAAAAGAAATCTAGCTCTAATTCAATGATAATGATAAAATAAGCATAATTTAGAACTATTTAGGTGGCATGCTTTTAAGTATGATGGAAATATATATGAAATTAAATTATTCCTAGCACCAGATTTTTTCTAGGTTCTTATTTCATATGGCTGCTAGGAATAGTTTTATTTCATTGAAAAAATAAATAAAGAAAAAAGAAAAAAAGAAAAAAAAAAGAAAAGAAAAAAAAAAGGAAACAGCTATTTTATATAAAAATACTCATTCTTGTCTCACCTGCAAGGTTTTCCTGGAGCTTTGGAAGGAACTCTTCAAATTCCATTTCCTCTAAAGCCTGAAGCACATCAGCTGCAGTAAGTGTCTTTCTTTTGCCAGAAATGGCAATATTGTTGGCACTGAAAGAGAAATATATACCTATTATTATATATATCTTTGAGTACCTCAACTTGAAAGAAAAAACAGTCAGTCGAAAGGTTAAGGTAAAAAACTTTAGCATATAGTTTAGGTACATATATAAGCCTAACCTGGGCTCATGCAATTTTCTAAAGGTCAATCAGACTCTTTTACTAGTAACCCTTTGGAAGTTTATCCTAAGCAGACCTTACTGCTGGCACTGAGGATGATCACTGCCAGGATTTGTTATGTCCTCAGTGGTTCTTTCACATCCTCAAATTGGAGATGGGACTTCATTTAACCTGATCATCTGAGCCCCAAGGGATTCACACAATGTAGAGAGAAATAAAAGGGTTTTAACCCGGGGGGGGGGGGGG